CGGAGTGTAATCAGGTTCATGATTACATTTTGTAGCACCAAACGGAGAGAACACTGTTGGAGTAGGTTCAGGTGCAACTGAATATAGCACGTAAACCAACTTTAATTGTTCAAAAAGAATAAACATTCTTTGAGCCCATCTGTTGTAATTTCTCCCATCAAGCGCGGTGATTTTTGATAGATCCAGTATGACAGAAGGTGTCATAACGCTAAAGGTTGACTGTTGCAAAATAACGCTTTTAACTGTTGGGGAAAATTGCAACGCCAACGCTCGATCTGGAAGCCTTTTAAGACGCACGGACACTACGGATGTATGGTAGAAAGAAAATCTGTGCCGTGTTATAATAACACTACCTTAAAAGCGTTATTTGCCGGGTAACGGTGCAGATAGAACCCTGGCACGCTTTCGACCGGCTACACAGACCTACTACGGATAGCTTGCACTAGCAATCGCGTAGGCGAACCTCACTATTGCTCAGACGACGGGAGGGAGAAGGAGAATCGAATAAATGACTCGAATTCAAGGTGTGTTTTGAAACGATGTTGGGGGCTGCTATTTATAGTAAGCAGCCCCCTCATCCCTTCCACAAAAGTGGAAGGGACGTACATTGTCCACAAACTAGCGCCATATGCGCTGTCCACAAGACTAGCGCACAAGGCGCTATGCCACCCACCAAAAACACCACAAAGCTAAGCACATTCTCCAAGCTTTAATTTTCCAACAGAAAGAACAAAGTTTAAGATAAGAATCTGAAAAAATATCTTGAGTAAAATTTTGAAAATATATATTTTCTGTCAAAATGGGTTATTTTTCCTTTAACTAGAATGAGTATTTTTGATTGAGTTATACTACATGAACTTACCAAGCTTACTCTCTAAATTTTACTTTCTGATATGGCGGGCACTGATAAGCTAAGCTACCTTTTTCATGTGGATCTCAATACAAATGTCTACATCAAAGTTTGTATGTTGGAGTAAAAATTAAAATGAGAGTACACATAATATTTTCCTTTTTCATTGATAGCCTAACATTGACAATTTCAAAAAATAAGTTTCCTAACTCATTTTTTGAATTTTCAAATGGACTCATCTTAAAAACTTAGTTAAGAGTGTTACTAGGTGATTGGATTGGTAGGTAGAAAAATTCACATTTGATTCATCACCGATGGATTACCTATTTAATCAAGAAATTATTTGATAGGACAATTAATCAATTATGTAGCATCATGTTAAATGATATTTTAAAAAAAAAAAATTCTAATTTTTCAATAAAGTTTTCAAAATTATTTCGTAAGTTACCTTTATTTCAATTCTTCAGTTTTTTTTCTCTTCACATATTTTAATTTAGAATAGGAGAACGAAACATGTACACAAATAAACATATTTTTTTAAATGTTATTTTCTTGACAAAAATATAGAATTTTTCGCATTTGTCAACTGTACTACTTTATAAATAAATGGTATTAGTAGAGTGGATGTGTATCATACAAACTAAGGTTTCGTTATAGTTAGAAATTTAAATAAAACCACCTACTTAGAATTATGAATGTATGAGGCAAAACATGCAAAGCTAATTGACGAGTGACGACCAATTATTATTTGACCATATACATTATATAAAAATAAAATAAAGAAAGAAAGAAAATGTGATCCAATGATATCATGCATGAAATCACACTCAACCCAAATTTCCAAATCTTACAACTTGGGTGACATGTCGTATGTTGATTGGCAGTTGTGCATATGTGGTGGTAAGTGGAAGTCATGGTGGGATCCTCGGAAGCTTCTAAAAGACAGCTTGAATGATGCCATCTTTTCTTCTACTCCCAACTGATGTTAAGTACTATTTGGTAGTATATGTTTAATGTTTCATAACTTTCATTATGTTAATTAATCTACTTACGTTGTTCGTCGTCAACCCCGACCATACGAAGTGGGCAAGGCACATACCGCATGGCTTTGAAGTTTGAAGTTATCCAACCCACACCCCCCACCTATTCATTCATTCATTCATTCATCAATCCACTCAAAGTTGTAATTATATATGAAATGTGAAATTAATTAAAATCATATTTTATTTGTTAAATCAACTGATGTCTAGTTAAATTATAGATGATATTTAAGATGGTAGACTCGAGCCAATAGTAAAAATATAATAAAAACGACAGTTACGTTTTTTATCAGGACTCGTGCTTTGAGTTCAAGAAAAAATATGTCTCTACATAACCTAATTTTTTAATAGAAAGACTTTATGCAATTTTAGTTCTGACGTTTCTGAGTGGGCATTAATTACAATTAGATAGCTTTGAAGTTGGAAGTCATGCATGCAACCCACACCCCACTTATTAATTCATTTATTTATCAATCAACTACTCAAAGTTATAATTAAGAAATGTCAAAGTAATATCATATTCTATTTTATCTATTAAATTAGTCAATGTCTAAGTAAACGATATTTAAGTTGATGACTTGATTAGCCGATGTCTAGTTAAATGATATTCAAGTTGATAGGCTCAAGCCAATAGCAAAACTATATATGGCCTTGTGCTATCACTCGAGAATGGTGCTTAAGTTCAAGAAAAAGCATATCTTTGCACGACCTATTTTTGGAATGTATTCAAGTAGGTAGGTGTATGACAATATGTCCTCAAATGAGTGGGGCTCGATCAACTACTTGAACGCAATACTTTAAACAAAGATTTAGCATGCCCAGGCCAAGGGTGAAGTTGAGTTCACCCCTTGTCCTTCACCACTTGAGTATGAAAGAGAATCTCAATACTACACAATTCAAATTCTTTAAAATGTTGAATTGTATATATACTAGCTAGTGTAAACTCATATTTCTTCAAAGTGGAACAAATGCTACTTAAAAGCGGTCTTCTAGGGTCTAAATTTTTCAACTCAATGCGTACACTTCGAAAATCAAATCATTTAAAAATTATCAATTTTGAGCCAGAGAATTTGAATTTACTTTAACCAAATCGAAATTATAAATGAACTCCACTCAAATTAATACCTCAAAATGGTAACTTAAAATGCCCATTTTTATTAATTTTTCCAACATGACATAACTACGATTTATGACTAATTTGAGTTTTATTTTAAAATTTATTTTTTTCTAGAAAGTTACAGAAATGGCTATTACACCCCACAAGAATTGTTGCATTGTGGGGACAGTTTAAATTAGTTCGTGAAGCAATACTAGTGCGCTTTTCTAAAGTACGAATTTTGAATAACGTGTAAACTATGCCATCGAAAAAGGAAAAGACCAATTAATATATAAGACAAAAAAATAAAAATAAAAAATAAAAAAATCATTCTTCCCTTTTGAGGTTATCAAGCATCCAAGCCCCATGTTACTTATAAGATTCATTATTTAGCTACATATGGTCAGGGAGGGGGGGTGGGGGGGGGGAGAAGGGGGCAGAACCTAGATTTAAAGGTGGTTTTTTTTTTTTTTTTTTTTTTTTTTTTCTAGATTTAAAGGTGGTTTTGTGTTTTCTTACTAATTAACCTTTTTTCTTTTTGAAAGTAATGGCAAAATATATATTTATCGAGAATATTTGTATTGAGAAAATTATTACATATGTTTGGTGTTATACAGAAAATGTAACAATTAAATTATGTAAGCAATTATTTTAAATATTTAGTTTGTTTTGAATTTTTCAATGATGAACTCTAATATAATATTGTTATATGTAAATAACAAAAATGTCTGGTGGGTTATAAGCTCTCTTACCCTTTCACTATTATCTTTCTTTATACAGTTGCAACCGCAAGAAATGTAAAGAGAATTACGTACTTATTATGATATATGTTTTTCTAGCGCTAAAAAGAGAAAATAAATAATTTGATAAAAATTATACATTCCGACCTATCCAAGAATAAGAAACCTACAATCCCCTCCCTCCCTTGGGTTGGATTTACTTTTCTTGATACTAAACTTTTTCATATCAAAGTCAATGCTTTCATTATAAAATTGGAATTGGTTGGAATCTTAATTTTCAACTGAAAATTAAAATTTTAATTTTCGACCACACATAATAGATTTTTAGGCATAAATGTTAAGGAAAAAAAAATGTAGAAAGAGTCACTGGCCTACACACGATTTATGACCACTCGCCAAGGATTTCTAACAATGAATAATAAATACGAGTTAGAGTGAGAGTCATCTACTAATCTGGTCTTGTCGTAATCACATCGTACCATATAAGTTTCACAAACAACAATGAATATTGACTTAATTAGTGTAATTGAGTCATGATATGATATCCTCGATCGTTCGGATGCACCTAAGTTAGGTTTGCGTGTGAAAAGCGGTGTGAAGGAATTTTGGAACTTAGAATTGATGAATTAAGGAAGAAGAGTACAAAGAATAGAAGCGTGTCAAAGTTGTGCATTGAGGGGTGCATGCATGCAATTGGGTGGATCTTAATCTTGTTCTTTACGAAGATTCAAACGACGCAGACCAATACTGGTTGACTAACTAAGCATGCAATTTATATTGAATCTTTGAAGACCATAAATTAAACAACCATTTTGGCTTTCACCCCTTTAAAACGACACCCATGATGTTGTCTTCGCCCAATTAAGTAACGCCAACCAGGATTTCCGTTTACCACTGTTATTGAATACTCCACCTATACACTATTGCATTCTTTAAGTTCTCCTTAAATTATTATACTTTTTATAATATTATTATATGACCAAATTAAACTTCTATAGTACTATTTGACAGTCTTGTCATCTTGTATTTGATATCTATATAAATCTAATAAGAGTCAATAAAGTGATAAGAGATAATATAGTGTTTGGTTGTTGTTAGTTTGTTAAGTTTGTTTCGTATTTATTGCTGTGGTTACCTTGAGTTTAGTAGTTTTAGTTTCACCTTTGTAGTATAAATATCTCTTCTGGATACCATTAGACCACATAGTCCTGGTATCAAGAGCTATTCGATCTAAACTATATTTTTTTTTCCCTTCACCTTAAGTTCTATTTTCCATGGCTGCTAATGATGCAAATACTCAACCTACTGTCTCCCCCACTCCAGTTAATCCGGTACCTAATGTTGAAGGTGCTAATACCATTCCTAATCATCTTGAACCTAGCCAACCACTAATTGTGGTTACATTTCATAACATTCAAAAACTCACTTCCTCCAACTATCTCACATGGAAAATTCAGCTTGAAGCCATTCTTATTGGCTATGATCTTAAACATTTTATTGATGGCAGTAAACTCATCCCAACTGCTACTATCACTGTGCAAGATCGCGTACTTCCAAATCCTGCTTATTCCACTTGGATACGCCAAGATAAGCTCATTTTTGGCGCTATAGCTGGTACTTTGTCCTCAGCTGTCGGGCCTCTCATTTCGAGTGCCCAAACTTCTCACGAGGCATGGAATATCCTAGCAAATACTTATGCTCGCCCCACCCGTGGTCACATAAAGCAACTCAAGGATCAACTCAAGAATATCATCAAAGGCGGCTCCACAATTACCGAGTACATACACCAAATCAAGAGAGTTGTTGATGAACTTGCCCTTTTAGGAAAACCCATGGAACCTGAAGATATCACAGACAAAATTCTTGATGGTCTGGATTCTGATTACCAATCTGTTATTGATGCTGTTAATGGACGTGACTCCATCATCTCGTTTGAAGAGTTGCATGAAAAGTTAATTAACAAAGAACTTGCTCTACACCGTGTAACTCCTCCTACCACGTTTCCAGCTACAGCTCATCCCACTCAAACTCGACCAGTAAGCAATTTTCAGACTCGGCAACCCTCATATCCCCGCTTCACCAACAATTCATCCCGGCCTGCTCCAAAACCCTTTCTTGGTCGCTGCCAGTGGTGTAATGTTCAAGGTCATGTTCTTTTTCATTGTTCTGTCTTTCGTGGACAGTACCCAAATATTCAGTTTCCCCCTCGTCCTACACGCAAACGAGAGGTAAAACCACAGGCTCATGTTGCTGCCACCTCACCAGTTGCACCCTCCTGGTTGCTAGACAGTGGTGCCTCCCATCATGTTACCACGGATCTTTCAAATCTTGCTCTTCACACACCATATGATGGTACAGATGAAGTTATGATAGGGAACGGTTCTGGTCTTCCCATCTCACATACTGGTTTTGTTTCTCTCCCTTCTACATCTAAGTCATTTTCCCTTTCTAATGTTTTGTGTGTTCCCACCATGTGTCGAAATGTTATCTCTATTTCACAATTTTGTCGTGATAATAATTCCCTTATTGAGTTCTCACCCACTACCTTTTGTGTTAAGGACATTCAGACGGGGGCACCCCTCCTAACCGGACCATCTAAAAATGGAGTTTATGAGTGGCCGACGTCTCCTAGTGTGTCTACTCATGTCTTCACCACAATGGTTTGTGACAATAATTGGCATCATCGCTTAGGTCATCCCTCCGCTCCCATCCTCGACCAACTATTGGTTCGTTTAGGCATTTCTAATTCTTTTGCTCAGTCACATTGTAATGCATGTCTTAGCAATAAAAGTCATAAACTTCCCTTTAAAAACTCCACTCTTACTACAGCAGAACCGCTTGAGGTTGTGTTCAGTGATGTTTGGACTTCTCCACTACATTCCTTTGATAATTACAAATATTATATTATTTTTGTAGATCACTATACAAAATATGTATGGTTGCATCCACTCAAGCGGAAGTCTGACACATATGATGTGTTTGTACGCTTTAAGTTGATTGTTGAGAAATTTTTTAATAAAACACTTCGAACCTTGTACTCTGACAATGGTGGTGAGTACAAAGCCTTGTCATCTTTCTTAACACTAAGTGGCATCTCTCATCTCACCTCTCCGCCACACACTCCCGAGCATAATGGGTATTCGGAGCGTCGACACCGTCACATCGTTGAGACGGGTCTTGCTCTTCTTACCCAAGCCTCCATGCCACTTAGTTACTGGACTCTTGCCTTTTCCACTGCAGTCTACCTCATTAATCGCCTTCCCACACCAACTCTTAACCATCACTCCCCTTACTCTAAACTCTTTGGTAGTGAACCAAAATACTCTAGTCTTCGCAGCTTTGGATGTCTGTGTTATCCACGGCTCAAACCATATACTATCCACAAGCTTCAGTCTCGTTCATTACCTTGTGTTTTTTTCGGGTACGGGGCATCTCAACATGCTTTTTATTGTTTAGAACCAACTACAAATCGTATATATGTGTCTCGACATGTACGGTTTGTTGAAGCGTGGTTCCCATTTGCACATATTGCTAAAGACCTCTCCCGCCCTTCGTCCTCCAGCGCAGGTGAGTGGTGTTCTATCTCTCTTCCCATCGCCCATTCACCGACGCAACCACATTACCAAAACATCACACCGCCACCCCTACATAATCTTCCTCCAAATTCCCCTATAACTTCCCCTCTATCACCTATACTCCCCTCACCTCCTACTCAAAATACTCAGTCGTCTCCATCACCATCTCTGCCTGGTTCTACATCCCACTCTTCTCCCTCTAGTTGCTCACAAACGAGTCAAGTTTCATCTCCTGCTACTTCTCCTCCTGACCCACCAGCTTCTGTACTAGTTCCTGCCCACGTGTCGTTGTCACTCGGTCGAAAAACAACATTTTTAAACCCATTCAAAAACTCAATTTATCAGCTCAAGTTGTTCCTATTGAACCTGTTTCTGTTAAGCAAGCTATGCAGGATCCAAACTGGTTGGCAGCCATGAAGGATGAGTTTGCAGCGTTAGCTCATAATGAGACTTGGGATCTTGTCCCCCCCGATCCGTCTCACAATCTGGTGGGTTGCAAATGGGTCTTCCGCCTCAAGTATCATCCAGATGGGTCCATTGCTCGATACAAAGCTAGACTGGTTGCCAAAGGCTTTCATCAGCGACCGGGGCTTGATTATACTGAGACTTTCAGTCCGGTTGTTAAACCATCGACTGTTCGGCTGGTCATAAGTCTAGCTGTTACTCATGGGTGGGTAACTCGTCAGTTGGACATTAACAACGCATTTTTGAATGGAACTTTGAATGAAGATGTGTTCATGACTCAGCCTCCCGATTTTATTGATCGTACACTACCTCAGCATGTGTGTCGGTTACGAAAGTCGTTGTATGGTCTGAAACAAGCCCCTCGGGCTTGGTACACTGAGCTGCGTAATTACCTTCTGCAGATTGGTTTTAAAAATTCGAAGGCAGATACTTCATTGTTTTACTATACTCATCACTCGGATTCTGTCTATGTCCTTGTGTATGTTGATGATATAATTGTAACCGGCAAACATGAAAAATCTGTTTGCTCTTTTATTTCTTGTCTGGCTCGCAGGTTTTCTTTAAAGGATCTTGGTTCTCTTTCCTTCTTTCTTGGTGTTGAAGTGTCTCCTTGCTCTCACGGCCTCTTTCTCAACCAAAGGAAGTACATTTATGACATACTTTGTCGTGCGGGGATGGCGGATGCTAAACCTGTGGCCACACCTATGGCTATTTCTCCTCCACTACATCTTACAACCGGACACACTCTTTCGAACCCGTCTGAGTTTCGGGCACTAGTTGGGAGCTTGCAGTATTTGTCATTGACTAGACCAGATGTAGCGTTCGTTGTTAATAAACTTTCTCAATTTCTGGCAGCACCAACTGTAGACCATTGGGCGGCACTGAAACGTTTGCTTCGATATTTATTCGGAACTTTGGATCATGGTATTTTCCTTTCTGCTGGTTCACCGGTGCAACTTCATGCTTACTCTGATGCTGATTGGGCTGGTGACAAGCATGATTACCGCTCTACAGGAGCTTATATTGTCTACTTAGGACGTAATCCTATCTCGTGGAGTTCTAAGAAACAGCGAACTGTTGCCCGTTCCTCTACGGAGGCCGAATATCGCACTGTTGCTGGTACTGCTGCGGAACTTGCTTGGATTTCATCTCTCCTGAGCGAGCTTGGTTTTTCTCTCCCGGAGAAACCAATTATTTATTGCGATAATCTTGGCGCAACCAGTCTCTGTGCAAACCCAGTTTTTCATTCTCGTATGAAGCATGTTGCTCTTGACTTTCACTTTATTCGTGAGCGTGTCCAGAGTGGTGCACTTCGTGTTTCTAATATTGCAAGTGATGATCAGCTGGCTGATGCTCTTACGAAGCCTCTATCACGGCGCCGCTTTCAGCTTCTGGTGTCCAAGATTGGCCTCGCCGGACGGCTGTCCATCTTGCGGGGGCATGATAAGAGATAATATAGTGTTTGGTTGTTGTTAGTTTGTTAAGTTTGTTTCGTATTTATTGATGTGGTTACCTTGAGTTTAGTAGTTTTAGTTTCACCTTTGTAGTATAAATATCTCTTCTGAATAATGTAAATTCATCACTTCTTTACCAATTCACATAAAGTTAGGCCCCTAAAGAGAACTAAAAAATGTTATGTAATTGTTGATTGAATGAATAATTCATATTATTTTGATTTTAGTATTTTTTATGATTTCCCTTCTTACCCTTTATTATATTATTTTATTTCCTTAAATAACCCCGCATTCCGTTAGTATAAACTTTAGTGAAAGATCTTAGGTTCGAACTACATCCCAATCAGAGTTGACATAATTGTTAAACATATACTATGAATATGTTAAAACGTATTAAAAAAAAATACAATATAAAATTTAATATAAACGTTGGTCAAATAATTAGCTCACCTAAATACATAGCTTTCAAAGTGATTATAAATCAAGAACCTTGAAAATCATTTTCTTTTATTTAAAAATAAATAAATTTAGGTTAAGTTTTTTTTTTCTTTTTTTTTTGTTTAATTAATATAATATTCTTTTAATTATTTAGAACACGACTCAATATTTCAATTATACTTTTACATTATTGGAATGATTTAGGTCATTATGGCATTAATATTTTTTTGTATGTATTTCTATAATGGTACAATTATACATTACTTTACAAATATTGTACTATTATTTTTTTTATTGGACAAAATAGTTATTACATCATTCTCAAACATAAGCAACCTAACTACAAAGTTCTTGATGAAAAATACAACTGCACATGGACTCGATCTAAATGATAGGACCATTGCCTAAAGAATTGAGAATGTTGATATCACACTGGCTTCAATTGAATAATTAGTTTACACATCATTCTCAAATATATATATATATATATATATATATATATATATATATATATACTAACTTTTCACGCGCATTGCGCGAATGGGATAATGCTCAATATTTATTTTTAAATAAGTACTTCAAACTATATCAATGCAAGATTATATAGGAGATGTGCATGCATAGGTAATTGAGTGTTTAATTTGTTTATTTAAATCGGTAAATCAAAGTATATGAGTGCAAGATAATATAGGAGAGATTAATTATAATTATCATTAAAATAAATGTTTGCAACTTTGTAAAAACGCTAGTCTAAATACTTAGTCTAAAAACGATAGTCTAAATAAATACTACTTTGATTTGAATTTCTCTAAGTCTTCGTAATTCTCTTTTGGGTGGTATTGTCATTGTCTTCATTTTCAATACTTGCCCTCTTCTTTTTTTTTTATTAGTAGAGTGTTATGTGCAATTGAGTAACTAGTGGTAGTATAGAAGCCAACATCATGCAATGCGACTATGGTGCAGGAAACTGTGGATTTGTCTTGTTGTGTTTATGAATGTGATCTTAGTTGTACCATGAACTCTTGATCTTGTAATTGCCTGTTAATATTTAGCAGTGGTAGTTCTTTCCCCTACATGTTTCATGTGTTGTGAGATGTGTGTCGTAGATTCTCATGTGAAAGTATTCAACAAAATATTAATATTTATTATATTTATAGAACGTTCATGAGTAGTATCTCTTGTTCTAGTTCCATACTTGATAGTAACAACAATGACGATGCAAGTAGTTCGAATATTGATGTCGCAATGAGTCCAATTTTATCAACAATTTCCACATCCATTTTGGAATTAGTATATATGA